GGCCACGCAAGGCAGAGTCATCCGATGCGGATGGGATGTCGTCGATCCAATGTCGGTGTAGAAATACGACTCCCCTCCCCCCCCACCTTCGAAAGTGGTCAGCCGCACGATCCCCCTCCCTCCAGCCTTCTGCGCCGACGACGCAGCGCATTAGTTATAAGTCGGCGAAAAGTCAACTATCAAAATTAAATTTGCTTCCAGAATACGACGCGCGCGCGCGCGGGCGCGTGCGCGCAGGGAGGCAAAAAGTACGACCCCCCCCCCCATGGGGTGTGTGATCACAACGAGCGGCTGTAGCCGTGCCCGCAGTACACTGCTGCTACAATTTGATCGATGCACGCGCCTCTCGTGATGAAAACAAAGACTAATTTGAATAAAACGACAGAACTTCCCGCCAATTCTAATTATTTCTTGATTCAGCGGGATCAGAAAAGAGCCAAGAGGAAACGTGTGAGAGCTTCATTTAGGGGTACCTTTTTAATGTTTCTTTTTTCATTCGCTCGAGTTTTACATGAGCGTTTATGAAGTTGGTTCACCTGTGTAATATTGAGGGGGGTGTAGCTGTAAAAGTGACTGGTGTTTTGGTTCCTAGGTGAGTTTCTTTCTGTTTCTTGTTTCGTCTCGTTGCCCGTAAAAACTCGGACTTCGTAAACGTATAATGGTTTTGGAAGTTTGCGAACAGTTCAGTGGACGATAGTAACCTTTTAAGGCGCGTGTGAATAATAAATAAATTAAGACGAATGAAGGAACGAAAAGTTAAGAGAAGCCTCACCCGAGAGAGAGGAAAGGGAGCCGGCCTCATCCCGACCTAAAAAGAGGTGAAACCTCCTTACCTCATATTCCAGATCCGCTTATGCATAGAAAGTCGTAAGTTATTAAGAGAAAAGAAGGTCTCACAAGTTGGATTCCCTTATTTATCAAGCGAGCGGTCCATAATAGCGTTGGGGCGCGCTCTGCCACGTACCGACGATCGCGGCGATCGCCGCTGCTGTCGCGAAGTATGAACGCTGCCTAAGTAACTACCTCACCTACCTGATGAATGCTTTGATGACAAAACATACATCCAATGTGAGCCCGAGACTTTTTTTGCTCTCCAATCCCATAAATTGATTCTAAGGTGTCTTCGAAATGTCTGGTAAATGGCAGCAAGATACCAACCGTGTTTACTTGGTTCAATATAGTTGCAAAATATTGTCAGAAACTTTTCCCGCAACCTCATGATATAGGAATTATCCTAGGCAATAGGGCGTGTGAAAGGACGTGAGTTGGATCACAGCCAGAGCACCCTTTCTCGCCGATCCTTGTGGACTCAGGATCACTTTCCATTGGTGGACTATCGTTAGAAAGAACCATGACTGGACACCCTCTCTACATCCGGCGACTGTAGCAGGCTGTAACTGCTGACTTGACAGTGAGTGTGACTGCGGACGATGACTGCTATGTGCTGGCCACTCAGCTTTGCAGAACTGCATTCCCAGAATCCATTATTAGCTCTGGTGGACGCCACCATTTTGATGTTTCTTTACCAGCCACTTAGCACGTGTGATGCGGCCTCAACGTGTCCATCAGAGGGCATTTTGAATGTCTTCAACGAAGGACGACGGTCAATTTCTAGCGCAAAAATGCGCCACAGAGCTGTTTGTCGTCGTGCATAATGTCGCTGCTAAAGAACGGGTTGCTCATGAGATAATCTGAATTGCAACAATTCTTTTGAAGAGGGTCAAAAACAGGGAGTGCGATCGAGGTTTCCGCCATCGGCCTTCACAAAAACGATTTCACATCCCAGTTGTGAATATGTTGCTCAGCAGGGGATGGCGTGCGCATGTTACCGCTAGAATCATTTAGTTCATTTTTGACCATTTTTAACATTCCTCCAGAGAAGGGCTCAAGTAGAGTGAACAGGTTCGGACATATCGAGAAACGCAGTACCCACTGCTTTCCACAATGAAGAATGTGGAGACCCTTGCGAAGTTCAAATGTACTGACATATTTTCTGTCGTCAGTAGTTCAACTTTGGTGCCAACACATGCAAATAAATAAAATAAATAATAATAAATATATCGATTACGCGATCGATATAGCCAGTCTCCAAAACTATTTCAGTGTCAATAACCACCTTCTGAAGATGGGAGAGCTGACTATGAAAGACGTCATTTTTGGGGTCCAGGTTCTGGTAAAGCAACCAAAAATTTAGCTGACATCCTTCATTGAAGAGTAAGTTGAGAATTCATCAACAACTAGAAAACTCTTGTCAAAAACCCAGAAATGAAATGGTAATGTCAAGAGTTTGCAAAAAATAGAGTTGTCGACCTGATTTTAGATATTTCAGGTGACACCCGTGAAAACGCTATTAGATGCTTGTGTTTTTCTTCAAGCAGTACGTAAAAATATCATGAAAGGTTTTTGGTATTGAATATCAAACAAATTTTGTATAAAATAATAGAGTCAATAATGCGAGGTTTCATACAATTCCAGGATAACATGAATACAATGAGAACATATTTCCAACCAAATACGAATACAATCAGTATTGCGTAATATACATATTCGCAATACACAATACTAAAATTGAAAATTGAAATTGAACAAATTCAATTCAAAAAAATTACATCCCGAATATTTGTCTCAGAGTGTACATATTTACAGGGTGTTCCAGGATTTCAGGCATTTTTTCTATATAATCACTGAATAAAGGTGGCTTCAGATACCGTCTGCCTCGGATAGACCTGTAATGCCTACAGTGCTTAATGTGTCTTCTTATTATAATTGTTGTCACAAAAGACGTGCTAGGTGTGCAGCGGCACTATGATGGTGGTATCGCTCCCAGTTGCGATTGATGGGCTTCCCGGCCTGCCTTGGGACCCGGGCGATTCTATCGTCGGCAAGACAGGTCACGTCGCACACGTCGCGTCGCGGCGTGTCGCGCGGCCACGCGGCGCGGCAATCCCGGCGTTGCATTACCGTACTCCCGAGTTGTCACTGGAGCAAGGGATTAGCGTTGTTTCAAAGGTAACCTCAAGAGTAAGAGTAATAGTCAATAATCATAACAGGAAAGGAAATAGGATAGGAAAGACATAATAGGAAAAAGATAACCAAAATAGGATGACTCTTTCAAATTGTTGAAAGGGATCGTCAACCCTTTAACAATTTGAACGCCGCGCAACAGAACTCGTACGCGGCGGCCGCCACGCCGCCGGCTCCGCCCACCGGCGCGACGACCCACTTATCGTCGACGATAGAATCGCAGCACACCACTGCCAGCCTTGCCTGTTCAAGAAACTAGCGACATTCAACAAACAGTAGCCCAGTAACCGTATGTCGGAAATATTTGGTTGGTTCAATTCAATTTAGGAGCGACAAAGTTCGTGCGAAATAAAAAGTATCAAGCGTCTTGGAACAAGATGACGAAGGTTTCATAGGACTAATTGTAAGGTTGTTTGTTTTGTATTTCAAGGTTGCCATAGGTTCCGACGCCATAGCACAATGTTACTTGTACACTGGAAAGAAGATTAAGAGAGGATTAAGCCACATTAAAAAATATTCACCACTGGTGCTGACCACCTAATTAGTCCGACCTCACCCGTTGTGATGATAATTATGATTACTCTACACCTTCTTTGTGTTCCGACCTTCGTACTACGCTAAATTTCAAAAGCAAGTTCAGTATTCCAACAGATGATGGACTAGTGGTATCCAACGACTATACACTGGGGGCGAACTTTCCTTAACAAGGGTGCACTAGAGGGACTTTGTGCAAGATACACAGAATTCTACGTTTCATCTCATTTCCTTTTACGTAGTCAGTGTAGAACTCGCTCTCAAAATTAAATGGACCAAGCTAACAGGTGGTCCTTCTCTTCATGGTCCCCCTTACGACTACGGTTCCTAAAAGAGTACAGCCAGATAAATTATTTCCGATGACCGACACAAAAAAACCATATTAAAGTGGGGGTGACAGTAAAAGACTTGTGACGGGGAAGGCATTGATTTTCCGCTGGAAATCTCTGAGTTTCGCCGAGGAATGTGGTCCGCACCTTTGCTCCTAAATTGTCAAATTGCCCTCATTTGATGTATTTGGATCAGTAAGCCATACTTCTTCACATGGATTCTACCCCTCTCACGAATTCCCTTGTGTGCATGACCTCATGCCGATTTTTGTCCTTTACGTGCCGACGAAAACCCCATCAGGGAGGCACTGACGAGGACAGTTTATGCACAATCTTCAATCTATCATCTCAATCTTTGTCATTTGCTTCGAAAGCTGACCCCTCCCAATAATTCAAGAGCAGAGTCTGCGTTGAGGTCAGGTATACGGATATCCCGGGCACGAGGAAGGCGTGGCTGGGTACTTCATATGATCGTTGCGCCGGCTGTGCTTTTAGTGGCATGTCGTCGTTTTGTAACCACGTCTTTGTCCAACATTAGTTGAGGTTATGCTGAATGGAAATATCCTGTGGAAGGTGACCCATGTCTTTTTCATACGGAGTACGCAGCCACGTCCTCCCGATTCCTGGGATATGGGGCCTAGAAGCAACATTTGTGGGCCATGCTAATTAGCCATTGACCGCTAAGCGACATGCAGGTACTCGAGTACATGTGTCGAACAGTCATTGTTCCACCACCACATGACTTTTGCTTTAGCCTCCATCTTCTGCAGGATTTTCCATTCCCTGATATGAATGGAGCAATTCATCGTAGCTGTGAACCAGTAGTAGTCTAAGTCACGCCGCTATTGCAGTGAGGCCGCCTTCATACTCGCGAGTCGAGCGATTCAGTCGCCCAACTCGGTAACCAATTGGTAGATTGGACAGGCGGCCGCGTTAATTTTCAATGTTCCTAATGACACACCCATCCCTCACCATGCCAGAGAGACCACGAAACACTAGTGAAGAACATGACTGTAATGCAAGGGACTAGAAATGGAAAGATGTGACATAGCTGTTCAATCCTGAAACAGTGCTTTCAGGTACCTCAGACGACCCTTTAAGCAGAAAAGAGATCTAGTCCATAATCTCTTCGATCAGTGGTATACCACAACGAGATCGTTGCATTTGAATGATGACATGAAGGTCTTTTTGCACTTTTGCTTGGCGATGCAGTATGTCGACTATGGACAGAAGGGCTGCGTAATGAGCTGGTGCGTTTGCTACTCCACGTGTAGCCATGCAGTAAGACAACAGCGTCGAATTGAAGCGATCCCGTTCAGCAGCGAGGATTCGTTGCCCATCCAGAGAAAGACCGTCGACAGCTGAAACAACGCTAAAACATTGAGCAAGCATTTCAGTTTTACATATCCTCTTCTATACCAAAAAAAAGAAAAGAATCTTCAGAGAAAGTCACACAATCAGCTGAAATGGCGGCAATTAATAGCTTACTTGTGAGATATTCCCTGTGTTCTACTCTCAACCTTCATACTTTCAAGCCTACACATTCAAGAGCGCCTGTGAAAAATAACGGCTATCGACTACTATGCTTGAGTAACGGCTGCAAAAAAATGTGAGCAAAAAAGCGAGATCGTGACTTTGGTTCGCAGTAATAGCTGCTGCACCGCTTTCGAGGCCTAAAAGCGAGTAGCGAGTGTACCCATGCCGTGGTTCCTCCCATTAGCCTGAGCCACCTTCATTAGCCCTGCCTACACCGTATAGGGAGCCATAAGGTTCTTAGAGTATAAAGAATATGACACAACTCAGAATACAACCGCTGGGCGGTCTACCGAGCACAACTTGATAATAATCAAAAAGCGGACTAATCAGAAACCGGATGGGACGCTTGAAACTACTCCTTCAGGTGAGCCTCAGTGAAGCTTCAAGGTCAACCCCTTCTGTTTATTATGTGTTGAAGCACCAGCCACAGAGTGAGTTTCTTGAGCGAGTATTAGGCATTTTCTGAAAAGATTAGCGGCATATACTACTAACCAGTTTGGCCGACGCGCACTTCTGCGCGCATTAATCAGCCCATGGCTGTGACGCGAATTATGAATTTGGTGACCCTCCCTTTTAAGGCCCCTGGCCAGCCCTTGTCAGCTGTGATCACTTCCTGCCACCTAAATGATGTTCATGTCCAGCCCCTTATATCACCTAGTGGAAACTGTTCCACCGTTGCTGCAGCTAGGGCACGCCATCGCGTAGTGATAAATTCCTGCAGAATAACACCCCCTAATTCCATCCTCTGATACGGCCCATCTACTTACCACTTTCCTAGACTTTCCCAACTTCACACCACTTTTCCAGTTTTTTCGACATTCCCCGAAATTTCTAGTTTTTCCTCAAAATTTTGCTGTCTGTCGAGCAGGGAGGGGGCGAGGTCTTTACTAAATAATATTTTTTTAGCTATCGGAAATAGCAGTTGTATAAATCTTTGACAGTGCCGCCACTAGAGGGCGGATATATAACACCAGTGAAACGGGAAAAACCGCAAAAAGTCAACAACCGGGAAAAGCATTTTTCCAACGCCGCAAATTTCCTCTCAAGAACAAATACGATCCCCCTCCCAACAACGAGCAAATACGATCCCCTTTATAGCGTCCGTGAAACAAGAGAAATCAACTATCAAAAAATTTTTTCTCAGGTCCAAATACGACCCCCCCCCTAGTGATTATCACAACGATGGCGTGCCCCGGCTGTAGCCCTCGTTACGAATTTGGTGACCTTCCCTTCCTAAGGCCCCTTAAGAGCCCCTTCCGCTGTTGGCACCTCCTGCCACCCACCAATAGTGTTCCTGACTGACCTCCTACATCACTTATCGATCTTGAACTCTCTACGACTGATTTGAAGGAAGTTATGAATTTTCCGGTCCAGCACACATCAACAGACAAACTTAGTGAATTATACAGGGGGGGGGGGCAATAAAAAAGTCACTTTTCTTCCTTGACTTCGAGGCGCTATAAGTTACACTTTATTAAATTCTGATCGGACATTTCCACTACCATCTTAAAGAACGTATTAAATACTATCTTGACACTGCGCCACAGCCTTCTGGACGAGCGCCATCGAGAGATTCTGGCGCGGACCGCGATGTGTGCCTGAGATCAGCGAGATAGTCGATTTCTCCGCCACCGTAGACCACCCTATTGAACTCCGCCCGAACCGGGTAATTGAGGGGATTCAGGTCAGGTGACCTACTTGGATACCTTCTTTAGGTATTCAGCCCCCTTCCATTCCAAGTAGGCGAGAGTTTCTCCAATGCCCTTCGATTCCATGTGGTGGCACCCAATGCTGTAGCAGTACAAAGTTTCCAAGAAGGTACGGGCGACGACATGTGGGAGGATATTCTTCTCGAGTTGCTCGATGTAACCGCCAGCGCTCACCTTCAGTCCGGAGTCCACGAAGAAAATATAGGTCTTTCCATATCCAGGTACGTCCGGCCCATACCATCAACCCGTGCCTTGGCGACTGTATTGAAGATGATGTTGGAGGTCTTCCAGATCGAGAATACTGGTCTCCAGGTAGCTACCCATGGATGACTCCATACCAGAAGTTTCGCAGCTGTTTGGAGGTGACGTGAATTTCAAAGGTCTTCTCCAGTCAGACTGCTACTGGAGATGACTTCATATTTGGTGTACATGAAGTTGATGGGCAAGGCCAGCTCCTGCTTATCTAGGAACATTTATCCTCCGCCCTGGTATTCGTATCCACGTCCTCTGTCTGGGCTGCGAAAACTTTGCTGATATGTGACTCGATCGAAGTGACTTTTTTATTGCCCCCCCCCCTGTATATGGTAGGAAGATGCCGCGGACTAACCTTAGGAACTCTGGAAATCTATTAGCATCAGTCAAAAAGGTGCAAGTTGCAAATCTGTCCAGAGTCTACCGCGTCGGGTATTGCTTTTTAAACAAGGTGTAACTCACTGGCGTTGCACAGAAGAAGAGCTTTCAATAGGACGTATTCCTTCTTGTCAATTCCGTGACGGATAAGCGGTTCAACGGCAATTTTGAAAAATTCGTTTCCAATGGAGTGATCACTGAAAGTAGCATTGAAAGAATCGTTGTTTTCAACCAAAAAAAACTGTGAGAGTCGAAGTTTTATGTTGCTGAAATATGGTATTCACAGGAAGTTTCATGGCGGCTAAAAGTAACCGCCCACCAACCTGCCGGTATAGCAAAAGTCTAGTTCTGAATAAGCGCTGGGGATTTTATTGCTAAGAAAGTTGGAGGCCGGGAAAGTAAGAGAACTTTGATATAGCTCATAAAATTCAGTGCTGAAAATAGGACAAAAGTTATAGGACATAATAATTATGATGGTTTGATTTTATCTACCATTGTTCTAGTCAGTGGCTATATTCTCCTGCCCAAATCTAGATGGACCCAAGAGACCTTGGAGATGGAGGATTGGTTTGCATTTGCTCATTCCAATCCCTAACGGCTCCTTTTTGCCACAGCGCCTCTGCTCACTGAAGCAAAAACATTTCGTTGAAGAGAAAAGAAAAACTAACAGAACAATCGCGGGGAAGAACACCGGTACGGTCCCGTCTGGGTGTACGACAGTGTCTGCTTTTTGCTCGTAAGAGAAGAATGCTTGCGTAGCGTTGAAGCACTGTAGTATCACTGATTTCAGAAGAGTAATCTGAAACAAGCAATCATTAGGACAGGTCTCACTAAGCAGTACATTCAAACACTTCATGATGCGAGAGTTGGTTCTGCCAACAATTAGCAGCCTCTACAAATGCACCTCAAGCTTCAAAGGGGACATCATCCATGACCGGTTGTGTGATCGCTTTTTCAAGGGTCTTCTCGGTGGAGCACAACTGTGCCAACTCACACATCACTACGTCTCCCATGGTGACGCTCAGTATTTAATCCCGATGAAGGAGGGAACATCAGGGGCCAGAACTGGACATCGAGGGGATAGCGATGTCGAGTTTCCAATGAGTGTAGCAGGATGTCTTTATTTTGCTGCCACCAGAATCAGATTAGATATAGCCTAACGTGCGCTTGTCAATTTTTTTTCTTTTTCTACTAGAAGCAAAATAACAGAGTAACACTACTGCTCCCGGTGAATATTGTTCATAGATTCACATCGAACACGTGGATACCTGATCGCTTCGCTTCAATTTATGAAGAAAGGGGAACGTCTTTGCCCACTCAATCGAGCTCAGGATGTCGAAGAAAAACCAGTTTTTTCTGAAACTACTGGTCAATTTCGCAATACTAGTTGAACCGCTGTATGAAGAAGGAATACAAAACGCAAGAACGCGTTGAAAATCCACAAACCTTTCTGGCTCTTTGTGTTCTAACGGGCTAAGACCCTGCTTCACACGTTCCACTTGTTCCGGGGTAAAAGGTGGAAGGCTGGGTAGTGGCCAATTTGGCATCGGCTGCAGAAGGAATTGGAAGAACTTCATTCATTGTCCTGCAAAAGGCCCTCGGGAGTAGCGCAGTGGCTAGAACGCGCTGCGTCGCAACTTCCCGCTCAGGCACGGTAGCTCTCCTGCCTTGCTGGTTCGTTTAGGTGGACCTCTCCTATTCGAGAAGTTGAGAGCACTGACTTGGACATTGGTATAACATTACATGTCGTTAAAAAAGCGTCTTGAAATGCTTCTACGGTTGCAAACGGATTTCCCAATTGCATGCGCATCCCACATAGATTGATCAGCAACTCCCGCTTTATCCGTTGTTTGTTTTACCGAGACAGAAGCCATAAATCAAAGTAAATAAAAGAAGGTGAAGGCTTAGTTGGCCAGAAGAGTATGAATACCGGCAACTGCAAAGCGGAGGACCTATCCACTGTGCTACGTCCGTTTGCCGATTTGCAGTAGAAAATTTTTCACGTAAGTCACGGTATAGATCGATTAGGTACAAAGTATTATATAATAAAAAGAATAGTAAATATAGTATCATATAAGGATGCTGGCTCCATGACCTGAGTTCAAGGGTCACACTCCCTGATATTAGTCTACTTATTACTCAGATTTCATCACCTGACCTTTGAGAGCCCCTATCGCACAACATACTTAGTTTCACTTTTATTCCAGAACGAAAAAGTTGTGGGTTTTAAAAACATCAAAGAACACCCTCCTTTTTACACTGAATGGCTCTATACATTGACTACTTTTTAACTCAATTCTTGTGTAGAATTAGACTCATACCCCAATTTTGTCGGCGAGGTTTATCAAAGAACTCGAAGACAAAGCATGCTCCAGTTTTGCGGGAAGTGCTTCTGGTTCTGGATTGTACGCCGATTTCCGGAACCTTAACATAGCCAAATAAGAGATGAAAAATGGCTTCTGTGACCACTGTAATCATCGTTTCTGCATAGCATAATCAGTGTTTCGATGCGCCGCAATGTTTTTTCTAGTTAACCTGACCAGGACAGGAATCATTACTAAAGATAAAACCAAAAATGGGGCACCAAATGTGAGTATTTATGGCGAAACCTCCAGGTAGTCTGACCCAGAGATATTATGCTGACTCAGCAATAGTGACCAATCAGTTGAAATTGAATTAAAGATTAATTGCTATGGCTGGCATACTTTTCTGTTTTGATTTCCAGATAGATGAGCTCGTCGATTAGGCGATCCATGGTGTTTTCAAGCATATGCAAAGAAGAAGGCATCTGTAATACGATATTATGATATGTAGAGGCAGGGGTGGTTCAAGTACCTCAAACGAGTTCAAGCAAGTTCGGAGAGGAGCAGAGAGTAAGATGGCTTGATAGCAGTGATTATAAGAAGAACGGAGAAGATTTCAGGGAATACTGGGAAGGATTCTCGCGCTCGGAAAATTCCATGCTTTAGCTAAAACCGAATAATGAACTCGCACTGCCAAATCAGCGGGGTCTCTTGAGATGGAGATGTATCGAAGCGCGAGAGCTGTATGAGTACCGATGAGGGGCTGCTTCTTGCACCGATACTGCTTTTTCTTCCATTCCGCTCTATTTGCCCTGTCCCTGAGAGTGAATCTCCACAAATAGATCTCTGGTGACCTTCCAAACGTTAGTACCCATGACATGTGGAATGTAAATGCATGTACCGTTCGCAACATTGCAATATGTCGGGGTGGTGTGAAGTGGGCGGGATGAGCCCGCCTGCGGCTGCCTTGCTCTACCAATGGTGATCGTCTAGCAACCGATTTAAAAAGAAAACAACCAGTGGTGGAAGCGTCTCAGGTGGGATCAGTCCATCCCTTTCGGTACCGACCCGAGCGATTGTGATAATACCAACTGTATTTGTATAACGAACTTGGAGAGAAGAAGTTGCGAGGCAACTCTAGCACTACATTGCGCCGATGCTTGATACTGTTATCGTAAAGAGGAACCCTAATAACCCTGGCGTGCAAGTTCACATCGATAAGGGGTTAGGTGGGGAGGTGGGAAGAAATGCAGCTGAGGCCGTTTAGTTTCTGTTTACTGTCGCCAAAAGTAACAATACTGTATTAAGGGAAAAGCAAAAAGAACTAAGCATGCATCGCAGCCGCAACCGTCTTCTATGCTGAGTTTCTTTCTCAGGTCTTTCAGGTAACCAGGGGAATGTGGGACAAGTGCTGCGATGGATGGAATCACACCTTTCCCAGAGTGAAAAAATGGGAATGAACGTTTTTAGCTGATATCAGAACTTTCACAATCGAAAACCTTGGCGTCTGTTGACGGTCCAGGCTCAGAAATAGAAGTATTCCGTCGTTTTGTGAGTATTTCTTGCAAAACTCCATTCTTCGTGGCATCGCCGACCAGTTGTATAGCTAAAACCAAAAATCTGCAAGAAGAACAAAGTAATATCGCTTCGACGTACCTAAGGGATTCATTCCGACCGCAACGCATTGTTGGAAGCGACATGCTCGGCAGCTGCAACGTCTGTCTAAAATAAACTTCCCTTCCAATCCTGTGAGTTCAGTTACATTTTCTTTTGGCGTGAAAGTACTTTATGTGCTTTTGAAGTGAATGAAGTAAAAAAAGTGATTGCGCACACAATGGCCGCTTCAAAAGCGCATCATAGGGGTCTCAGAGTCGACTCATTTCTGCAAGAGAAAGATGTTCAACCATCAGGCAAGCTCATAGGCTCCTATCGCACCTGGGTGTGGAACGTTTCTTCCAGATCGTGGTCTTGCGCGCACTACCAATGTAGCTTCCAAGCGAGTTAACCTGACGAACACTGGTATATAACAAGGCAATCGTAATCCGCGGCACTGGAGGGGGTCACGTGCGACCTCACAAATGAAATGTTTCCAGGCCGTAGATGGCGACATTAATCTATGCATGACCCAGTAATGATAAATGTTTGCGATGTTTATAGTCTACGCAACATCCGATGCTCCAGTCGACAGGTTAATACAGACTAAGAAGACGACTCTCTCATCACCGTGCGCTATCGTCGTCTGCGACGACGATCCCACTCTCTACCTCCTCTCTCCACGTCTGGGGCTAGAACCTCTCTCAGCGTGGGTCCTTGAGTACTATCATGAGGCGGACTCATGATATGAATAGTCCAGGCAGTCTGCTATATTCCCTAGAATACACTAGCTGCTTCTACCTCCCGTTCAACGTCCCGAGTAAGACGTCCATTTACTCGCCCTTCCTCGCACAACTACCGTCGCAATCAAGACGTAGGTTCATCTCATATACATAATAAAGGTATATAGATTATTATTGTCATTCTCGCCTCTTACGACTAGAAAGAAGGTAGAAAGACCTACAAAATTTATATAACGAGATTAGAGAAGAATATAAAAACTGCAACAATAAGTCCGAGAAAAAGGATATAATCACAGAAATAGAACAAATAGAGGGGGAATCACAACTCCACCCAATAATAGAGGAAGCAGATAATCTAATAATTATGCTAACAACAAAACTTGATGAATCAAAGTGTTCACAAGATAGAATAGCCAGGAAACTTGGCTATGCCTCAAATACCGCTATCATCGGTAGAGTAATGTCCCCTAAGGCCCCAGAATATCGATCTGGTCATAATAATGACACAGACTGTATTAATATTGGTTTGGATACCGAAGGTGGGTCACAGCCAAACACGGTGCACCTCACTTCGAGCGAAACAAGGCGTAAGCCACCTCGCTCGATAAGACCCCCGCAAGTCTCACTTCCCAAATTTCATGGGAATGCAGAAGAATTTGCGGAATTCTGGGCCATATTCGAGACCCTAGTTCACAATAGTGATGAGTTAGAGGTCATAGAGAAGATTCTCCTCCTAAGGGAATGTCTTGAGGGCAGAACGCGTGTTGCGATTCAAGGAATCCAACCGTTGCCGCAGAATTATGACTGGATGATACAGACTCTCCAGGAAAAGTACTGCGATTATTCCGCCAATAGGTCCCAAATCGTACAGAAGCTAGTCCTGCCAGCCACCGATAAAGCGGACAGCTGTTCTGAGACCTACGAACAAATACAAGCTCTGGTTAATCAGATGATATCCGCAGGGTATGACGTGAGGACTACTTGCGATCCAATGTGGTATGAAACCATTATAGCTAAATTTACCCGGGATAACCTGTCCTCATAAGGAGTCAGGCAGAAACGAATCAAACTATTAAGGACCTTTTAGCTCACCTTAAGAAAGAAATCGCTGCAAAAAGCTACGTAGAAAGTAGGCTCGGCAGCATGATAAGTAATAAATCCGACTATATATTCAAGAATAAGGCTAATCTATCAAGCCAGAGGCAGACTAACCACTTTTGCGACAATTTGTATGTTTGCTAAGGAGCAAGTCACGTATCGACAAAAGGCTTCGAACGGTGAAGGACCCAATAAGTCGCAGAAACATTTTGAAGGATGAAAACAGATGTTGGAAGTGCTTCTCTCTAGAACACAACAGCTTTAATTGTCAAAAACAGGACTGTTCTCATTGTGGGCAAAAGCATCACGCAAGCATATGCTTTCGAAATAGAAACAGTGACGCAAGTCAAGAGAATCGCACTACTTCACCCACGCAATTCGTTAGCGTAGGCCAACAATCTACCGAAGGGCGTCAAACCCTCTAATAGGCATCAGAGGCCTTCCTTTCAACAAGGTATTTCTCCAGCAGCACGCATGCGGAGAGTAAAAGAAAGCCCTTCAAAGCGGCAGAACAAAACTGCGCGACTTCACAGCTCGTCTTCATGACGACCGAAGGTGATCTTTGGAGCTTCAAGAAGCAAAGCTATGAGAAAGTGCTATTCTTTTTCGATTCTGGAGCCCAGCATACAGTCATAGAAGAGAAAACAGCCGAGCGATTTGGTATCCCAAGGGAGTCAGCCAAGTTTTGCTATGTCGGGGGTGGCCCATGTAGAGACCTTCAAAACCCATGCGGTTACCATAAAGGTATGCTCTGCATTTAGTGAAGAAATGGAGCTAGAGATCCAAACAAAGCCGACAATTACAAGCGGGCTTCCCAAGCGTCAAACTCAACAAAACAGATGTTAAATTCCTAAAAGAAAACAATATTCGTTTGGCAAACTCGAACTTGCAAGGGGAGCACCAAATTCCCCACATCCTAGTAGGGTTAGACTACTACCATGACCTGGTCACTAGTTCAGGTTACATGGAGAGAGCTCCCTCAGGTCTCCATGTTGCGAAGACCATATTTGGACCCACCTTATATGGAAAAGGGTTGCTCGAAGTAGGAAATGCGAAAACTAACATTCGCTATGGAATGACCGCAATTACAGAGCAGAGAATGTTTCCCATAGCAAACATCCCTAACAGGAAATCTTTCGATTCACTTAAATTCGAAAACAGTACATCAAGACAGGACAAGCTAATGCTTCCCTCTAACAAATACAGCCCCTCACAAAAGGAAAAGGGTGGAACAGTGCTTCAACAGAAAAGACACATCCAAAAAAGGGAAATACACCCGGAAGAGATAAGGCAAGAATCAGGGCCAGGTCGCCAGAATAGACGGTGCACTATTGTGCCACGTTTAAAAGAGGTGAGAACACCTCCAGACCAGAGGTCGTTCTCGGGTGCCTCAATGGCGCATCCGGGTGGCCTCATGAATAGCAGTCGAAAAGACTCAACGAAGGTATCAAAGTTTTGCAAGATGAAAATGGGGCACTACAAGAGTCATAAAGAGCGGCTTTGCATACGGGTTTAACACCGCGAAATAAGTTATCGATAAGTCCATCACTAATCTTTTCAATTCTGACAGTCATTTATAAATGTGATGTAATCCTGTTATTTTTACCACCAACGTCGCATTCCGCCTCCCGTTGCTACAGCCATCCAGCCACTACCGTCGCCGACTAGCCACCTCCAGCCATCGCCTCTATCAATCGACTGTCCCATCACGACTTCAAGACGCTCATCAACTTGCTAATGTTCTTCTATGTAAATAACCGTGTGCGATTTTCCTCGAAGTTGTAAACTCGTTGCCCGGCGGAGTATCGTCGTCTGCGACGACGATCCCACTCTCTACCTCCTCTCTCCACGTCTGGGGCTAGAACCTCTCTCAGCGTGGGTCCTTGAGTACTATCATGAGGCGGACTCATGATATGAATAGTCCAGGCAGTCTGCTATATTCCCTAGAATACACTAGCTGCTTCTACCTCCCGTTCAACGTCCCGAGTAAGACGTCCATTTACTCGCCCTTCCTCGCACAACTACCGTCGCAATCAAGACGTAGGTTCATCTCATATACATAATAAAGGTATTATATAGATTATTATTGTCATTCTCGCCTCTTACTCAAGGGCATACTTATAATTCCACTGAACCACCACACGCTCCTTGTTCGAAGGCGAAAAAGAGGAAAGAGGATGGAGGCGTTCCTCTGCTTAACCTCTCAGGAACAGCGTTGAGCTTGGCATGAGTTTAGCTCTTCTGATTTTTTTTCTCGAGCGCAAACTAAGCAAAACATTGGAGCATTGTGAATAAATTGATCACTCACTTTGATCGAATAACCAATAACCTTCTTGAAACGTTCACAAAATTTACTGTATGGTATCGACCGCCTTTCACCACAGAAGCTTCTCAAACAGAGAGCGGCATCTTTTACGACCTTAATAAAAACGCTAAGAATAGCCTAGG